GCGTATCCTGCCTGGCAGCCGCTGGTTGAACTAAGCATAAAATTATGTAAAAATTATATCATAACATACATTATTCTGTTTATTCTCTCTACTACTTAAAAAAATTATGTTAGTCTCAAAATACCAACTTGTCTCAATCATGTACCATCATATGTTGCTTAATTATTGTTTTTATTTAGCATGTGGAAAGTTGTTGCAGGTTTAGCTTCTATAGTCAATCAATATTGTAGAAAAGACTGAAAAGAAATCATTTGCTATCTAATCTATATGAAAACATAAATAGAAACCAATATTTTCTACATTAATTGATTTTATCCCCAGAAGAATTGATCTTATCCCAGAGTGAATTGTCCCTTGAATTTGGTCTACAAAGGAGCTTTTTACCATTAACTGTATTACAGAATACAAGGTTAAATATGAAAACTGTTTTTCAAAATATATGTCTATGTAATCTTTGATTACATGTACATGTAATTGTTGCTTAAATCTGCATAAAGGGCACATCTGTTTTAGTCTTTGAAACCCACAATCACTAAATCCATGTTGTTGGTTTCTTTAAAAAGTAATTTATTAAATGGTTTATCTGACATTATCTTGAACAATATAATATTAAGTCAGACCAACCTAAGCTTTAATGGATTTTGTTTGTTAATAAGCTGCCATGCCACATCCTTCCTAGATGTAGGGGAGAGTAGGGATGGTTGGCCCAGTGGGATTGTTTGCCCACCCCCTTTATCTTAAAAACTGATCACATAGTCTTTCTTTTGATTCTTTAATTAATAGCAGAACTAAGTATAGTTGCTGTACCAACCATCCATCAGTCAACAATTGGCTTCTGAACGCACTAAAGGCTGCACTTTTCGACAAATCTTTTTCAAATTTTTATACGCCCACATTTTCATGTGGACGTATATTGTCGTCGCAATTGTTTGTGAACACTCTAGAGGTCACAATTTTTATTCGATTTCAACGAAACTTGAAATATAGGTTTATCACCCTAAGATCTCGGTTCCTTTCGATATTGGCATGTATCAGACTGTAACTTCATGGCCCTTGATTGTACGAAAAATCACGTTTTTAGCTTGTAAACACTGTAGAGGTCACAATTTTTATCTGATTTTGTTAAAACTTGAAATGTAAGTTTATAACCCAAAGATCTCAGTTCCTTTCGATATTCGCGCATATAGGACCGTAACTTCCTGAATTATGGCCCCTGATTGTAAGAAAAATCACGTTTTTAAATTGTGGACCCTATAGAGGTCATAATTTTTATCCGATTTAAAAAAAACGTTTTAATGTATAACAGTTACACCCTTATGATGGTTGAGTCTGAATTTCGTACAAATCTGACCAAAACTGCTGGACAAAATGGCTGCCCCTTGTACGCAAACATTGTAAATATATGGTATATCAAGGTTTTGGACCTTCTAGAGAGAGATCACAATTTTCTTCTGATTTTGATGGAACTTGAAATGTAAGTTTATAACCCAAAGATCTCAGTTACTGTCAATATTCGTGCATATCGGATAGTAACTTCCTGAATTATGGCCCTTGATTGTACGAAAAATCACTTCTTTTTTTTTAGCTTGTTCTCTGTCCATCTCTTGCAAAATATGGGTGTATCTTGCATGGCAACCGCTTGTTTGAAAGTTCGTGGTCATGAGAGGATGAACACTATAAATATTAGTGTTCAGAGGCCTTCCATACCTTGTGAACAAGATTTAGGCTGTAGTTTTTAACAATTGTTTGTGGACACTCTACAGGTCACAATACTTATCCGATTTTGACAAAACTTGAAATATAGGTTTATCTCCAAAAGATCTCGGTTCCTTTCGATTTTGGCATGTATTGGATCGAAACTTCATGGATTATGGCCCCTGTTTGTACGAAAAATCACGTTTTTAGCTTGTGGACACTATAGAGGTCACAATTTTTATCCGATTTTGTTGAAACTTAAAATCTAAGTTGATAATCCAAAGATCTCGGTTACTATCGATATTTGCGCATATCAGACCATAACTTCCTGAATTATGGCCCCTGATTGTACGAAAAATCGTGTTTTTAGCTTGTGGACCCTATAGAGGTCATAATTTTTATCCGATTTAAAAAAACGTATTATTATATCACCGTTACACCCTAAGGATGGCTGAGTTCGAATTTCGTGAAAATCGGCCCAAAATTGACAGACAAAATGGCCGCCGTTCGTTCTCAAATAGCATAAAAATATGGTATATCAAGGTTGTGGACCCTATAGAGGTCACAATTTTTATCCGATTTTGTTTAAACTTGAAATGTAAGTTTATAACCCAAAGATCTCGGCTCCTTTCGATATTCGCGCATATCGGACTGTAACTTCCTGAATTATGGCCCCTGATTGTACGAAAAATCGCGTTTTTAGCTTGTTGACCCTATAGAGGTCATAATTTTATTCCGATTTAAAGAAACGTATAATTATATCACCTTTACACCCTAAGGACGGCTGAGATTGAATTTCGTGAAAATCGACCCAAAACTGACAGACAAAATGGCCGCCGTTCGTTCTCAAATAGCGTAAAAATATGGTATATCAAGGTTGTGGACCCTATAGAGGTCACAATTTTTATCCGATTTTGTTTAAACTTGAAATGTAAGTTTATAACCCAAAGATCTTGGCTCCTTTCGATATTCGCGCATATCAGACTGTAACTTCCTGAATTATGGCCCCTGATTGTACGAAAAATCGCGTTTTTAGCTTGTTGACCCTATAGAGGTCATAATTTTATTCCGATTTAAAAAAACGTATTATTATATCAACGTTACACCCTAAGGACGGCTGAGTTCGAATTTCGTGAAAATCGACCCAAAACTGACAGACAAAATGGCCGCCGTTCGTTCTCAAATAGCGGAAAAATATGATATATCAAGGTTGTGGACCCTATAGAGGTCACAATTTTTATCTGATTTTGTTTAAACTTGAAATTTAAGTTTATAACCGAAAGATCTCGGTTCTTTTCGATATTCGCGCATATCGAACTGTAACTTCCTGATTTTCAGTAAGTCTCGGCATCTCTAGCTCGATTCCTTCACACGTCCAACAACAAATTACGACAGATTGAGGTTTCACAGTTCATGTACTGCACATTAAGTTGAAAACATGCTTTTAAGGGGCTCACACACAATGCTGGACGTGAATAAGAGGTTTTTCATGTGCATTTTGTGCAATTTTTTTTTTTGCACACGGGCCGATATTTTTTGCGTTTGGGAGCATTGTGTGAAACAATAGTTCATAGTATTGCATAATATTATACATACAAAACCACCTAGTAATAAAATATTTGGGAAAAAAAAGTGATGTGTTTTCCATGGTTCTCAGTATATATCCCCTATATGGTGTTCAATCATTCCACAACCTTGGTACTGCATACTTTTTATACACCCACATTTTCATGTGGACGTACTATGCTATCGCCCCTATCCATCCACAATTTGTTTGTGGACATTCAACAGTTCAGAATTTTTATTCGATTTTGACGAAACATGAAATATATGTCTATCTACCACAGAACTTGGTTCCTTTCGATATTGGCATGTATCGGACCATAACTTCATGGATTATGGCCCCTGATTGTATGAAAAGTCACGTTTTTATCTTGTGGACACACTAGAGATCACAATGTTTACCCGATTTTTATGAAACTTAAAATACATGTTTATAACCCAAAGATCTGGGTTCCTTTCAAAATTCATGCATATCAGATTATAACTTCCTGAATTATGGCCCTTGATTGTACGAAAAAGGTCACAATTTTATACGCTTTAAAAAATAAACGTGTGAATATAGCACCGTTACACACTTAAAAACCGTTTAAATATATCAACATTCAATTTTTATCCGATTTTGATGAAATTTAAAACATATCTTTATATCCCAAAGATGTCAGTCTCTTTTTATATTTGCGCATTTCAGACCATAACTTTCTGGATTATGGCCCCTCATTGTACAAAAATCACCTTTGTTTTTAGCTTTTTCTCTATCCATCTCTTGCAAAATGTGGTCGTATCTTGCCTGGCAGCCGCTGGTACACTATTTGCGTACTGTAGAGCGGCCATTTTGTCAGGCAGTTTCTGTCCGTTGTTCTTGAAATTTGAACCCAACTGTAATTAAGGTGTAACGGTGATATGTTTGTATCTTGGATGTCAGGGTAAATCCGGACAATTATAAGTAGCTTCAGTAAAATATACATAACAGTACATCAATCCACAATATAATTAGTCTTAAGTCTGTTATTTGTCATTCACGATTCAGTATTGCCACAATAGGTGGTTTAAAACAATTAGTGTAAGAAATATGTTGTGGATAATTATATATTGATCTCTGTTGATAAGTTATTGTATATATTGTAATTACGAAGGTCAGTGTGTTTTCTAGAACATGTGGTACCTGCTGGTATTGAAAATAACCACTGCCATGAATGGGACATATTCAATATAATTGTGATGTTTTTAAAGACATACAATCTAGATGTAGTAGTGTTAATTATAAGTAGATCTCAATCGTTTAGATGTTATTTTATTTAACATATTCTTTTCTTTTCATTACAGTTGATGTTGAAGTAATCATGAACAGCTTATCATCATTAGCACTAGAGTCATCAGTAGCAGACAAAATATCGTCACATGATACTATTATTTTTTCTCATAAGCAGATGTCATTGTTTAGTGCCTCAGATGATTCGTTCTTACACCCATCTTTCTTAACAGATAGAATGATAACAAGCACAGCCGTTTTACCTAATAATTTTATGCGATCAAAGTCGATTATAACTTCAAGAAGTGGCTTTTATTATTTTGATATTACCCATGATATTTTAAATGTTGTGACTTCAAGTTCAAATTTTGGATATTTTAGCACCAGTCATATTTTGTTATCTGATAGTTTTATTAACTATAAATCTGTTAGTGATTCTTTAAGTATTGTAAATGATTTTCGAACTTCTATTTTAACATCTGCCCCTAGCACAACCATTGATAATAAATTACTTGTAAGTATTTTAACGTTTAGTACAGAAAATAGTGCATCGTCAGAATCTCAAATTTTGATACCAAATTCCTATGACAGAAGTTTTAATGATATTGTGCCAACTACTTCATATCAAGGAGAAGAATTAACTGGTTCAGTGCATCAACAATCAATTTCCAGTGATTCTACAAACTTATTCCAGGATTTAACTCAAGTCATATCAAAAACTTACAAGAGTGAGTTAATTCAATCAGGTGTAAATATTTATTCAAGTTATACAAATATAGAATCTACTTTTTCAAAACATTCTTTGAATCCGGTCCCAAGTTTTTCTACTTCAAATAGTGATTTTACATCAAGTACATTATTGGCCAGCAGCTTCCTGATTTTAAATAGCTCCCAAATGTCACAAAATTCCCAATTATCTGAAGTGTCACAATTTATACCTATTTCAACATACTCATCACAACATGATAAATCAGATGAACCCAGCCTTACAATGTTTATCCCTAACCGTGATCAATCAGCATCTTCAACAAAGTCTTTTATCGATGTTAACCCAACAACAGTTTTATCCACCACAGATAGGATTACCTCATCTACCGTCCTTAGATCTCAATTAATTCCAGCCAATGTAAATATCCAGCAAACATCTTCTAGTCAAATGTCTGACTTATCTTTCATTCCACAATCCTTTTACACATCTTTACTGGTGACAACTCAACCAACTCACCCAGAAACTGCCAGCACAAACATTCAGTCTAGAGCAGCCTTCAACCAATCGGATCAATTAATTGTACCTACCAAATCTTCAAATGAATATGCAAGTGAGTTTGTATCAATGTATGAAATTGAAAGGTCAAGGATTATTATCAGTAGAACCATAGCAAATTTAGTTACATCTGTTTCTACAATGTCAACTAATACAATATTTAGCAGCGTTATGGTTTCTGAGAGTATTTTACCAAGCATGGCATCCATCATAGTACATTCTTTAAGTGGAACATTTGTTGTTGAGTTTACATCTTATCAGATTGATACTTCTACTTCCACACTGTCAGGCAAGGCTACTACCAACTTTATACATGATGTCAGCAGTACTTCAAAATTAACTGCTTATAACTCTGTGATATATTTGGAATATTCCACAACCCAGGAAACATATCAATCAACAATGCAGATCTCAGATATCTTAGTATCGAATGATCTCAGCAACAGTAACTTTATCTCAACGGCAAAGTCTCCAAGCATGTATTTGCCTTCATGGTCTGCAAGATACTTTGTTACATTGTCCAATTCTCTGGATTCTAATATGATTGTCACTTCAGTATCTTCAATCAGAGAAGTAACAGCACAGAGTATTAGTCCATCAAGCAATGGCAATGTTTTAACTATGACCATATCATCATCATCAGATAATGCAGCAATTCTAACAAATGGAAACTTTCAATCAAGTACATATGTTTTAAGTACCCCTTCTTTGACTGATTCAGATTATGAAATAAAAACATCATCAACCTTTACTACTAGTAACCAACTCAGTAAGACTTTTAATATTCTAATGTCCATATACATGACATTACAGTCAACAAGTGATGGGGAAAATGATAGTGGATTAGCAAGTGTGATCCAGACTAATGTTGATCAGACTCCTGCTCCAACACATAACAACTTATTTACCAGTTTTCAGATGGCCACTTTTTCCAATACAGACTTCTTACCCAGTAGCTTTTTACCAAGCACTTCAACAGCATACACTGAATTAGTAACAATGCCTAGAGCAACTTACAGTGAATTATTTACTTCAACAAAACTCAGTTTATCTTTGGCTTCAGAAAGTTACAATGAATTGGATACAATGCCAGCAGTATCAAATATTTTATCATTGACATTACCAACTTACATTGAAACATCTAGTGATATGGTAACATTAGCAGCAACTTTCAGTGATATAATTAGTGATATGGTAACATTACCAACAACTTCCAGTGAAACAAATAGTGATATGGTAATATTACAAACAATGAGTGATATGGTAACATTACCAACAACTTTCAGTGAAATAAATAGTTATATGGTAACATTACCAACAACTTTCAGTGAAATAAATAGTTATATGGTAACATTACAAACAACTTACAGTGAAACAACTAGTGATCTCACAATATTACCAACAACTTTCATTGAAACAAATAGTGATATGGTAACATTACAAACAACTTACAGTGAAACAATTAGTGATATGGTAACATTGCCAGCAACTTTCAGTAAAACAAATAGTGATATGGTAACATTACAAACAATGAGTGATATGGTAACATTACCAATAACTTTCAGTAAAACAAATAGTGATATGGTAATATTACAAACAACTTACAGTGAAACAACTAGTGATATGGTAACATTGCTAACAACTTACAGTGAAGTGGTCGCATCATCCACCAGTGACTTTGATAACTCAACAAGAATACTTTTTTTACCAAGTGTTATTACAACGTCGGTGCCAAGCATGATTAGTGAAATGAATCCATCCATATTAAGTGTTCAACCCTATTCAAGTGAATTACTTACAAATTTTGACATTACTAGTAATATATACCCATCTAGTGATATAATTAGTACTACTAATTTCAGTCAGTTAAATACTCCAACTGTTAGTGAATTAGTTACACATACACTTAGTGAACACCTTTCAAATTCTAGTGATTTTCATGTACATACAGCTACAGTTAGTGACACTTTCTCCAGTGAATCATTATTACCTACTCACAGTGAATTACTTAGTAGTGAGTTATCACTAAATTTTAGCAGCACCCACATAAGTGTTGTAACAGCAGCATTAAGCAGCTATCCAGATTCACCATCAGTACAGACTGGTTCTGAACTGATAATATCACAAACGTTATCTTCATTTTCACCTTCATCATCAGGGACTAGTTTTTTAGATTTGACAGTATCAACTAATACAGAAACAACCTATCGATTTCTGCAGTCATCACTTTATGAATCAAGATCAACGTCAGTGGATTCAACATCATCATTATCAGTACCAGTACCAACATCAGATATGGTATTAATGTCATCCAAAATGATATTGACTTCATCGGACTCGATTACTCTATCAAATGAGAAGTCCACAGCAATATTGATAGTAACTACATCATCAGTTGATTCACCCACAACTAAAATAGAAACAGTAACACAAGATTTCATATCAATAGAGATGACACCATCATTATCACAAGACTCAACAATAGCCGTTTTTCCATTAATTTCATCATCTGCAGATGATGCATCAATTAAGTTATCATTGGAAGCGTCAATACCCACCTTATCAACAGTACCATCTGTAGTATCAATTGTTTCATCATTGGACATTGTTGCAACTAGTTCTACGATGGAAGATTTACTGTCAACCTTATCAACAGCATCACCAATACAACCAACAGTAATTTCAAGACCAGTATCACATGTAGTATCAACATCAGTATCACATGTAGTATCAACAATAGTAGTAGTATCTTCAGTAATATCAACAGTACCATTACCTGTGATGCCTTCAGGAACCGAATCACAATCATCAATTGAATTATTGACAGAATCACCAGTAGGTTTAACAACCAACTTGCTACCAGTAAACATATCATCAGTAAACATGAACAGTCCAGTAGAATCATCTAGTAGTTTGATCGGTTTAAGTTCTGATTTCATCCAGTCTAGTTCTCTTTTTATAGAAACACTGACAGATGTATTTGATTCTACAACCACTGTACAGTTGTCCACAACAGATAACTTTTATTCTGTTACTTCTCTACACCCATCCACATCAGAGGTCATAATTTCATCTACCATACCACTACCAACATCCACAGAAAGTCTGCACAATAATACAGAGGGTCTCAACACCAGTACTGCACTAACATCATATTGGATCAGAACAGGTAAAAACAAAGACTGTGGTATACTCAATCCCCAATTGTAAATAAAGCTAAACACCTAAAATGAAAGGGCTTTGGCAGAAAGTCTTTTGTAGATGGAGTTCGACTCATTTTTATACGCCCACATTGAAATGTGGTCGTATATTGTCGTCGCCCCAATCCGATTGACTTTAAATTTATACACAGTATTTAAGGTCATGCGACGAAGAAGCCTTTTGATTTTCAGCGATTTCTGATAATTACTGCCAGAGTTATGGCCCTTGATCACTTCAAAAAAATCTTGTCGACTCTCTAGAGGCCAAAGTTAATATCTGATTGACTTTAAAAATTATACACAGTGTTTAAGGTCATGAGACGAAGAATCCTATTGTTTTTCAGCGATTTCTGATAATTACTGCCAGAGTTATGGCCATTGATCACTTCAAAAAATCTTGTGGACGCTCTAGAGACTAAAGTTAATATCCGATTGACTTTAAATTTATACACAGTGTCTAAGGTCATGAGACAAAGAAGCCTAATGATTTTCAGCAATTTCTGATAATTACTGCCAGAGTTATGGCCCTTGATCACTTCAAAAATTCTAGTGAACGCTCTAGAGGCTAAAGTTAATAGTTTTTTTCAAATTTGGTGTGGAACATAATTAGTTGTCATGAGAGGATGAACGCTATTGATTTATTGCGCTCCACAACCTTTCGTCCTGGATTTACCTCCCCTTTGAAGAAAAAACATTTAAGACACTAGAGGCTACAGGGTTTTTCAAAATTTGGTGGAAAGAATTGGCGTAGTGGTAGGCTGAACCTTATCGCTATTTGACTATCCGCGACCCCCCTTTTCCCTCTTCTTTGTTAATGCAGTAGGAGGCTAAAGTTTTTAATGTATTTCATTCAAATTAATATAAAGCATAAGGGTTATGAGAGGATGGACCCTATTGATATTTAGTGCTCGGCGACCGTCAGTTCCAGATTTAGCCCCTTCTCAAAAGACCTTGTTACTGGAAAAGAGACTTCCATTTTTATACGTCCACATTGAAATGTGGTCGTGTATTGTCGTCGCCCTCGTCTGTGTCGGCCCGTACGGCATCCACAATTGCTTGTGGACACTCTGAAGGCTAAAGTTAAACATACATTATGCAAGAGCTAAATCTGATTATTACAAGTCCTTATTTAGGCTTCGGATGTCATAGAAATTATAAATTAGATCTTTATTTACACAACAAGCACAAAACCAACTCTGTAGACCCACGGATGGCTTGGATTTAAACAGGATTTAGTTGACTGATTTAATTTTAAATGGCGTCGTGAGTGGAGATTAACCGTTACGTTGACGACATATTCCCGGATCGAGGCTAAATGATGGAGTGTACGAAGCGAGACCGCTGTTGAGCGATGCCTTAACAAATGACATCTAAACTATTTAAAGTGCAATAAACTAAACACAGATAATGACAAATTATACAATTTCTGGAGACCGTGTGATGACTAATACAGACGGACAGGTCTTCTGTCTTAATAATATCAATAAAAATAATTTTATTTCCCCAATAGGCACGACGCCACTGGTGTATATATTTATCATAATTGTATTATAATATTATGTCCTATATTCAATTGATTTAATGCATGCCCAAAATACAAGTAAGAATGAAAATTTACCCTCTCACTCATTTTATCCAATTGTTATAAAAATCCAAAAAGGTAAAACACAAATTTGGATATAATGACAGCAGACAAAAGACAGCAGAGATTATGTAGGTGGAGTTAACGCCTGTCAATCAAAAGATCGGCCATACTAAGAATTGGTGAAGATGGAATTCAATCCCATTTCTAGTCAAAAATTACACTGGTGATAACTATGTTCAGAATAAAGTAATTTGACTGAAATTTTCAATATATTCTTCTTTCATCATCTATTTTTGAACTGTTATAGCAAGAATGGCTAACTCCTTATAAAAATCTCCCATAATGTATCTTTAATATCCGATCGACTTTAGATTTACACATAGTGTTTAAGGGCTTAGACGAAGAAGCCTATTGATTTTAATTTGATTTAATTACTGATTTAATTACTGCCAGAGTTGTGGCCTTTGATCACTTTGAAATATGTTGTGGATACTCTAGATTTTGATGAAACTTAAAATATATGTTTATATCCCAAAGATCTCGGTTCCTTTCTATACTTGCGCATATCAGCCCATAACTTCATGGAATATGGTCCCTGATTGTATGAAAAATCCCCCTTTTTTTTTTAGCTTATTCTCTGTCCATCTCATTCTCTTGCAAAATATGGGCGTATCTTGCATGGCAACCGCTTGTTAACAGATTTCTTTCAAATTTGGTCTTAAAGTGCACATAAGATGGGCCTGGAAACTTTGAGATACATGTAGCCAATGGTTACTATATCCACTTTACGGCAAGTTCACGCCAATCTGGTTGAAATTAATTCAGTTATCTTCACTCAAAGTCGTAAAAATAGACCTTCCGTAAAAACGACTTTGCCAATTATCGAAAACACTCTTAATCCCCTCAGACGCCAGTGACGTCACAGTGATCGAATGCATATTCGGAATGTTTATTCCTTAATTGCCTATATACAGCCGGCGTGTGTATTCTTTAACACCTGAAGGATTCCTTAATCCCCCTAATTAAATAAAACAATTGACTACAGAATAATTTGTTTTGTAATTCATTTTAATTTAAGATCCAATTTAGAGTGCCTACAACTTGGACGAACACTTTTAATATGTAAATAATATACGGGTCCAGCTATGTGGTTTTTACTGCTAGCACTTCGCTTTTCCACATAAAGTGTAGTGTTGTTAATATCCGTCATTAATTAATCAAATCCGACTATAAAAGTTATACAGGCATGGGTCATAAATTAATTTACACGTTGGTGTTAGCAGTGAGTGTTAGTGGGATTAAGAATGTTGATTAGGTAATTATCTTTTTTTACGCCGGCCAGATCAAAGACATCACTCTAAGTGGAACGTGTGCGTAATAATACCTCACGAACGAACTAATGGTAGAATCATACACACACACATTAATTGTATAAAATAATTAAGTTTTACTAATAAGTTGTTTCAAATTACTATATACCCAATAATTATTGCTCACCAGTGTTTTTGTAATCAAGTAGCCTCGTATTATTTGTTGATTGGCGTTTAAACAACATTTAATTGATGGATGGATTAACGTTTTTGATACGATTAGGTTATAATGTCTAACATCGGTTATCTTCTTTATAATAAAAGTATTTTACAATTGCATTGACAGTTTAATCACTCACCAAACGGCACCAGGAACTCCACGAATGATCCCCTGCAATTTCGCGGCGAAGTTTAACCTCATTTACTACACCCGTAGTACATGGAACGGTACATGATAATAAGATACCAAGCGTTGATTGGCAGAGAAATGAGTGCGATCTATTGTACATATAGTCATCGGAAAATTCCATATTCCCTGTAGTTGTTCTTTATGTATAGAAATGGTTATTGTCCCCCGCCTTTCGAAGAAAGCAGGGGACTATTAAAATGGGTTCGTCCGTCTGTCTGTCTGTCTGTCCGTCTGTCTGTCCGTCTGTCTGTCCCGTCTGTCTGTCCGTCACACTTTTTGGGACACAATAACTCTCTTCCTAATTGAGCTAGAATGTTCAAACTTGGTGTATGTGTTTATTAGGTCAATGCCTTGATGGAGTTCGAAGATGAGCATTTTCCGCTAAGGGTAAGCAGAGATAAGCAATTTGATTGGTTGATGCTTTGGGACACGATAACTCTCTTCCTAATTGGACTAGAATGTTCAAACTTGGTGTATGTGTTGATTAGGTCAATGCCTTGATGGAGTTCGAAGATGAGCATTTTCCGCTTAGGGTAAGCAGAGATAAGCAATTTGATTGGTTGATGCTTTGGGACACGATAACTTTTAATTGAGCTAGAATGTTCAAACTTGGTGTATGTGTTTATTAGGTCAATGCCTTGATGGAGTTCGAAAATGAGCATTTTCCGCTTAGGGTAAGCAGAAATAAGCAATTTGATTGGTTGATACTATGGGGCACGATAACTCTCTTCCTAATTGAGCTAGAATGTTCAAACTTGGTGTATGTGTTGATTAGGTCAATGCCTTGATGGAGTTCGAAGATGAGCATTTTCCGCTTAGGGTAAGCAGAGATAAGCAATTTGATTGGTTGATGCTTTGGGACCTGATAACTTTAGTTCTAATTAAGTGAGATTGATGAAACTTGGTGTATAGTTTCATTACAGTAATACCTTGACTAAGTTTGATAATGAGCATTTTCTGCTCAGGGTAAGCAGAGCGATACGCAATTTGATTTTTATATGTGTCCTCTAATTATTTTCCTATTTCGGCGGGGGACATCAGCCTCACTGTTGGCTTGTTATTATTATATATAGCTAATAATGAATATATCGACAAATGACTGGCACCATTTGTATTTCTGTACTTAAGTTTGGGATATCAAATATTACGGGGTTATCCAAATTACCGGTAAATGCACTGATTTCTTGAGTCATCTTCATTTGACACGTGACCTATTTAAACAAAGGCAGCTTAAATTGATTTACGGCATGATACGACATTTTAAATAAACTCTAAAATATTCCAATCACAAATGTCTAATCTATACCAATGAAAGACGATAATTCGGTGATTATGATGAGGCCAGTGACGTGGTAATTGGACCGTCAATAGACGCTTGTCCAATTGCCGTTTGTCCAAATGCCGTGTGTATTGATAGTGCTATATTGTACAGACAGTGAGATATTGTATAGATAATGTATATCCTATGTGTAGTGCCTGTGACGTCACCAGCCAATCAACCGGATTAAGGTCGTAATTGAAAAATCGAAAAGCGTTTTGGCGTGTCGGATACTTAAACGTTAACAGCGGACTTAATTTTAATCAGATTGGTGTGAACTTGCCGTAAAGTTGATATAGTAAGCATGGGCTATACATACATGCAATTTAGATTTTTGATCTTACGTGGTCTTTAAGCATTTGGGTTGCGAGAGATAGAACCTTATCGATATACATGTGTTGTACCAAAATAGACTGTTACTTTCCAGAAAAATAAGTTATAATTTGTATAAAAGATTCAAATGAAATATTGTGAGTTTGCTAAAATACAATTTAAATGATTTCAAGTATTAATTATTACATATTAAGATCTTACTACATGTATGTAATTATATTATTATATCTATTATAGTTTTAAAGATTAGAAGTAGTGTAAATATTAGTACAGATGAGTTTAAAGATGATATGGAAATCAATCTTTTAAATGCCTACATTGAAGCATATAAAAGACAAGAAGAAATAGATAATGGTGTTTATGAGCCACTATTAAGAAAGAAACGCATGGCAACATCGGACACTGGTGATCTAAAACTTCAAGTTAGTGATATTTATGCAGATATAATTTGCAAGCATGTGACTTTTACCTGTGATTAGTGAGAACATTGCAACAAATAATTATTGTGTTAATTCATCCTAACTTGTATTTTGAGTTAAGGTATATGTTTATTCAGAGTAGTTCAGTAGTCTTTACTGAATTGAAGACTATCAGTTTTAATATATGGCAGTGTAAACTTCCACTATATAGTAAATATGGTTTGGTGTGCATTTACAGAAGTAACAAAACAGTATTGCTTTAATTACTGCACAATAGCATATTAAATAAGTGACAATTGGCAGAGAAAGTTCCTTGCCAGTGTGGTGCAGGATGGAGGGCTAGGCATAGAAAAGTGTCACATGATAGGACCCTTGATAGCTGGAATTCAGTTGGTGATGGCATATGTAATTTTTACTATTTAAAGTAGCTAAGTCTCTAACTCAATATCCTCCAAAGTCTTACATGTTGAAAACACAAATTATTTGTCAATTCAAATCAACATTGATGTTGTGATCTTACCAGGAAAAGGTAGACTTCTGATATCCAATATTTAACATTTAACAATAAACATTTTACCATTGGTACATGAATCGTGTACCATAGTGCATTTCAGCGTCATTTGTAACAAGTGACCAGAAAGAAAGAGGCTAGACATATTCCACAACTCCTGTCAAATGGTGATGCCATATTTTATCTGGAGAGCTTGCACAATAGACTGGAATAACCAGATGCTAGAAATTGTCATTCGGCTGACGTATTCGCTGGACATAACTGATTTAGAATTAGAGTCAAAACGAAAACAATTGAATGTAAATCTGTTTATATACATGTACAATCAGATTACATTATTATATGCGTTGGGACTCATTAGGGTCAATTTCTAGGTCCCAAATATTAGCGATTTAGCTCCTTTAAATACCTGTATGTAGATAAAATGTATAACCTTATGTAACGATTTTTTTTTCTTCAGATATTGAACATTTCTCGAATTCCTGACAACAGTGACATAGATGTAGTTTACATCTTACAACATAATGGAGAATATGTTCCTGCAAGTGTGGCATCAGATAGACTTAATTTATTCAGTGAACAAGAACTGGCTTTACGACTAGGACATGTGGTTAGTCAAATTGCCAAGCGTAAGTTAAACAATCTTATTATGTCCTTATTTAATTTCAGATAATTGTTGCTTGATTTTTAGTCTCAACATAGAAAAGATAATTGCTCATGAAATTATAATTCAGACACTTTGAAAATCTGGAATAAATGTAATCGGTTTTTTTGGGGGGGGTGGGGGTCATATTTTAAGGCTGTAGAATATCCAAGACTCCTTGACAGACTTTGTTAATATAGTTTTGTAACTATTGCAATTATATTTCAAAAATTTTATTGATGTAAAAAAGTTATCTGATCATGGAAAATTGAATTTGTTTATTGGGAGTCTTGAAGACTAAAAGGAGATAACTGTTGAAGGGTTGAAATTATCTCCCTTCAATCTTCAGACCAAAATGATTTCACTCCTAATCTGAGCCCATATCCAAAGAAAATCTTAAGTCTTAAGTTAGTCACTTAACTACTAGATATCACTTATACTTAACTTTCTGTAAGTTAAAGGTAAGTGGTATTCAAAGGCAATGTCAAGTATCAAATTTTCCTCTTAACGTTAAGTTACCTTAACTAAACTACCAGGCAAAAAAAAGTTGACACTCCGTGTCCATGTTAAAAAATAAAGACAAAGACAGTTTTGATTTAAACATTGAATAGTTTCTGATGTCTAGAGCAAAAATCAAAACATTAACAATAGTGTACTGGCCACAAGTCAGGATTAAAGAGATCAATGGGGTCTAGATAAATAATTACACACACATGAGTCAAGGAGAAGCCCTGAATAAGTCCTTATGCACTCTAATCATTTGACAAGACACAACATTAATAGCGTGTGTCGCCGTTGTGGGCAATGCTACATGCCAAAATATGTCTCCTCATAGATGCCTTCTTATGACGTCCTTGGGAATCCTTTGCCATTCTTGCAATAAGCCGGGGGGTTGGGTGGCCGAATGGTTAGCATGTGCGTGCTGTATCATACGGCCAGTCATTGAGTCAACTGGTGTGTTTTCGAATCCCTGGTTGTACGTGACAAGGAGTAGGGTCCCCTGTCCAACCTCGTGGGTTTTCTCTGGGTCCTTCGGTTTCCTCCCCCTGCTAAAGACCCCTACGTGCAAGCGAATTATTGAAATAAAATTGAACCATATGCTAGTCCCGAAATGACGGTAGTTTGTATTGAGTGGATGCTAAACCCCTTGTACAGAAATAGTGTAAAAGTATGTAATACCAAGGTTGTGGACTCTCTATAGCTAGAAGTCACAATTTTCACCCGATTTTGATGAAACTTAAAACATATCTTTATATCCCAAATATCTCAGTCCATTTCGATATTCACACATTTTAGACCATAATTTCCTGGATTACAGCCCCTGATTGTATTAAAAATCACTTTTACTTTTTAGCTTGTTCTCTATCCATCTCTTGCAAAATGTGGGCGTATCTTGCCTGGCAACGGCTGGTTTATTTAGTTCGTTCTCTCTTCATCTTTTGCGAAATGTGGGCGTATTTAATATTTGTAATATTAAAGGAGCTAAGTCGCTAATATTTGGGACCTAGAAATTGACTCAAATGGGTCGCAACGCATACAATAATGTAATATGAATGTATATAAATTGATTTACATTCAATCGTTTCTTTTTTACTGTAATTTCTAATCAGTTAGGTTCGGATATTCTCAATCAAATTTCAATATCTAGCTTCTGGTTATTCAAGTCTACGCCGATAGTATTTATTGGGCATGCTCTCCAGATAAAAATATAGCATCACCGTTTGACATGACCTGTGGAATATGCCTAGCCTAGTTTTTCGAGTCCCTTATTAGAAATAGTGCTGAAACGCATTATGGTACACAATTCGTGTACCAATTGTAAAATGTTTATTTTGTCTTAAATATTGGATATCAGAAGCCCATCTTTTCCTGGTAAGATCACAACATCAATCTTGATTTAAACCGACAAATAAATCGTGTTTTCAATGTTGAAGATTTTGGATGATATTGAGTTAGAGACTTAGCTCCTTTAAGTCCAGTTCTACATATTAATTAGTTATTTGCCCTTTCCAAATGTGTACGTCTCGGATTTATCACAATTGCCAGTTTGGGATCTATTACTGAACAGAGCCAACACAATTTGAAGAAATTCATTTTCACACGAGGTAAAGGGCTTATAATGAAACCAAGAGTCTTATTCGTGCCACCAAGCCGTAAAATCAGTCCGCAGCCCAACCACAACAACAGGAAATAGATATCAACTCAGCACTCGACTAGGATGAGAAAATTTCAACATGGGTACAACCGAAAGTGGCTTCTAGGATCATGCTACAAGCTAATGCATGCAGAACTGGATTCATAAAAATACAAATAACAACAGATAAATGATAATAATGAAAATAATAATAGTAATAAATAACAATAGACCATTCGATTTTCATTAATGTTTTTAGAAAAATCCCCACCACAAATGTCAGCCATCTTGAAAGTATGATAAATAGGGGAACAAATTGCCCCAATTCGTGATTGGATGGTTGATTAGGAGCATGCCACGACGAATTGCTGAATGTCTGAGGATTGGTGGAGCAATTACTCATTATTAAGACAAAAATCAAAAATGTCCATTTTCACTTTTGACTGTGTATCTCTTTGCGAGTGAAATGGGGCTGTCAGATAAACCGCTCATATGAACTGTTTATGTTATGTGTAGGCAATTGGCCTGTTATAAACATACACTGGTTACCTTTAATAAAAACAGCAGTGCATTTCTCAGTTTTGAATTGTTGCTGAATATCCCCTACTTTTTTAAATCAAAATCTGTGTATCGTCCCATTTTCCACCAAAAATGGCCACCATCTTGGAAATATCTTCGTAATGTGATGGAAAAATATCTGAAATATAGTCAAGCCTGCTGCCCTGCCTATATTAATACAGTGCCAAATCACACTTTATGTCAATAACATTATGAATAAAAAATAAGTTGGAATATTACCAGTATCGCAAAATAGCTACCCTTCAAATAATGGCATCCCATAGAGCTGGGAGATATTTCGTTTTTATACGCCCACATTTTCATGTGAACGTATATTGTCGTCACCTCTGTCCGTCCGTCCGTCCACAATTTGTTTGTGGACACTCTACAGGTCACAATTTTGATCCGATTTTGTCGGAACTTGAAATATTAGTTCCTTTCGATATTGGCATAACTTCATGGATTATGGCTTGGGGACACTAGTGGTCACACTTTTGATCTGATCTTGGCTCCTTTTGATATTTGCGCATAACGGATCGTAACTTCCAGAATTATCACCCCTGATTGTACGAAAAATCATGCTTTTAGCTTGTGGTTCCTCTAGAGGTCAGTTTTTATCCAATTTAAAAAAAGAAACGTTTTAGTATATCACCGCTACACCCTAATGATGGTTGAGTTTGAATTTCGTGAAAATCGGACAAAAACTGGCAGACATAATGGCCGTCCCTTGTACGCAAATAGAGTAAACATCTGGTGTATTAAGGTTGTGGACCTCCTAGAGGTCACAATTTTGATCCGATTTTTATGAACCTTTAAATGCATGTTTATATCCCATCGGACAAAAACTGATGGACATATTGGCCACCCCTTGTACGCAAATAGTGTAAAAATATGGTATATCAAGGTTGTGAACCCTCTAGAGACCAGAGTTTTTATCTGATTTGGATGAAACTTTAAATATATGTTTTTATCATAAAGATCTTGGTTTATTTTGATAATCAGACGTATATGAACATAACTTCCTGGATTATGGCCCCTGATTGGTCGAAAAATCGCATTTTTAGCTTGTGGATTCTGTAGAGGTCACAGCTTTTTTTCCAATTTTAAAAACCACCATAATGAAGGTTGAATTGGAATTTCCGGAAAATCGAAATGAAAGTGCACGACAAAATGGTCGTTCTTTGTACTGAAATTATGTATAAGCATGTAATACAAAGGTTATGGACCCTCTAGAAGTCACAATTTTTATCCAATTTTGATGAAACTTTATATTCCAAAAATCTGAGTCCCTTTTGATGTTTGCGCATTTCAGACCATAACTTTCTGGATTATGGTCCCTGATTGTATAAAAAATCGTTTTTGTTTTTAGCTTGTTCTCTATCCATCTCTTGCAAAATGTGGGCATATCCTGCCTGGCAGCCGCTAGTTTTGATATAAAACCGTCGGAGAAATAAAAAACATCAAAATAAGGTCTTCAGAAAAATATCGAAAAACTGTACATGCGGCGATGTATCCAGGGATTGAAATGTTCGTAAAATTTTATTTATCTCAGGTAACAAGTAGAAATATTTCTTACTTGTCACTTGGTCATTTCAAGTTGTCACCATTGATTTTTGTTTTTAATTTCTATTTCAATTTCATATGTAAGAGATGCTTACTACATGTACAGACTGAGTGTTCACTTTATTAACACATTTTGGCGGAGGTAATGAAATAAATGACAGACCGTTTTCTCACTCCCCCCCTGCAAAAAGTTTCGCCCTCTTCTGTGAAAAAAGTGTCGACCATAAAAACAATAGATATACATTGTCCGTCAATTTTACAGCACCCCTGAGAACACTTTCTGCCCCCCCTGGTTGCTCTGAGCTAGTTACGACCCTGGACATTACTGCTTTCACAGAATCAGTAGTGCTACTATTTTAATGCAAAAAAACCTTTTCCAGGCGCACAGAACTAAACTTAATATGAGTTTCAGTCATGTTAATCAGGAACAAATTCGCCACCATGCTATTTTATTGGAATCGATAAATTAGACAGACATTGTTAGCCAGAATTTTTAGATATTATTCTAGTTGTCCCCGGCGGCAAGTAGATTTTATTTCTACTTGTCATTTGAAAATGTTACTTGGATTCGACATGTAGACAAGCGTTATTTCGACCCCTGGATATATCGCATTTTTGATTTTTTTGGATGATATTTAGCACAAATATTGAAAAAATGTTTTTCTTTTCATATTATTTACCTTATTTTATTGTTTAATAATGAATAAATAACAATAAATAATGTTACAAAC